AAAGAGAGAGGATGTTTTAGTACACATGCAAAAATACCAAAAATACTTTCATATATCTTTCATCAAAATGGAGAAAGAAGTTCTAAAAGAAAGCACAGTGTATTTTAGCATCTTTAGGGAAAAGTGGAACCAACATTTTGTCATTTCAAGTAGTGACTCCCATGATGTAATCAAGATCTTAGACACAAAAATGACATAATAATGCATGTAGGTATTTTCAGAATGGGACTATATTACTTGGTTTTGTTTATTATTGTTTATTATTTTGATTATTAATTATTAAATTTGTATGCTATACCATACCCATAGATCCCAGGGTGGTTCACAACATAAAATTACAAAAATTGTTTAACCTTGCAGTAGTAGTAGTAGTAAAACCAGCAGCAACAACAGCTCTAGGATGTATCTAGAATGACAAAATAGGTGCCATGGGGGGGGGAGGAGCCGAGCGCTCCCCAAATTTTCAATGAGGATGCCACCCCACCTACCACCCCGAGATTTTGCTGCCTGTGGCTAGCTTCCAATTAATCCCTCTCTCAAACATACATTTATTCACAGCGGCACCATAGCCAATTTTTTTCCTTACTATTTCTGAACTATCCTTTCAATATACGTAAAGGCCTATTTGTGTCATAAAGAACTGATAAAACTCTCTGTTGACTCTGTCACACTTCTTAATGAGAGAAGTGAAGCAATGCATTTTCGCTCTTGAATCTTCCAAAGAAATATGTAAATCTTAATACCATAAAGATATTGTTCATTTCTAGATAGAATTTATTTTGTTTTGTTTTTAATATGTTTTATTATGGCTTATTTCTTTCAGGCTTTGTAAGACCTATTTGGCCTTTCTTCTGATTCTTTACTTATGGAACTTATTTATTATCTTAAAGACCTTAATACTTTAATTCTTGGGTTTCTTTTCCTAATCCTATTATGTTTTCATTTTTATTTACTTAATAGTTTGCCTAGTTAAACATATTCAGTCGTTTTATTATTCATAAATAAGAGAGTAAGCCTATGAATTCATTTTTTCTCCAGTGTTCTATACATAGCTGTCAACTTTCAGATTTGAAAATAAGGGATCAGCAGCCTTGAAAATAAGGGATCAGCAGCCTCACCTGTCCCGGGGACAGTCTACGGGATATCTAACAATCCGGGATAGCAGCGGGAAACAGCGCTGGAATTAGGGAATTTCCCGCAAAAAAAGGGGAGGGTTGACAGCTATGGTTCTATAGCTCGGGAATACTGAGTTCATTTAGGCGGCAATCCTGCATATACAGGCACCCCCCGAGTTACATAGGGGTTACGTTCCAGGCCCCTGTGCACCCAAGTAAAATTGCATGATGTGGGGAGGGCACTCTAAACATGCTTTAAACACCCCAGCTGCTATTCTGTCTTCAATCCATAACAAAAATACGGCATCCATTAATACAGTGGTACCTCGCAAGACAAATGCCTCGCAAGACGGAAAACTCGCAAGACGAAAGGGTTTTTGGTTTTTTGAGTTGCTTCGCAAGACAAATTTCCCTATGGGCTTGCTTCACAAGACGGAAACGTCTTGCAAGTTTGTTTCCTTTTTCTTAAAACCGTTAATACAGTTGCGACTTGACTTCGAGGAGCAACTCATAGCACGCGGTGTGGTAGCCTTTTTTGAGGTTTTTGAAGACTTTGGCAATTTTTGAAGCTTTTCCAAAACTTCTCTGAAACCGTGCTTCGCAAGACGAAAAAATCGCAAGACGAAAAAACTCGCAGAACGAATTAATTTCGTCTTGTGAGGCACCACTATATCCGCAACTAGAATTGAAGCTCTGAGGCTGGCAGAAGGCTGGAGGATGCACGGGAAAGTAGGGCTGCTGTTAGGCAGAGAGGCTGAGCAGCCTAAGTAAAGCCCCACTGTGCTTCTAGTCTCTTTGGGGCTCCCTTCACCCTCACTGATGTCCTCTTTGGGCTCCATGGAGGGTCTGCTCATGAGCCATGAGGACTCTCCAGCTCTCTCCCACCATTTGGGGCAGGGCGGAATTGAATGATTAAATTATTTCATGGCACAGCACATATATGTGGTCATACGCAAGTCGATCGTGTGTAAGGGGGGGGGGACTCGGACGGCACACCTGTACTTATCTCCAGAGAAAGCCACACTGAATTCAAGAGGATTTACATCTGAGCAGGCATGTATAGGATTGTGATCTTAAATGGGGGTAACAAATCCCTAGTTTAAATATCCAGGCATGTCCTAGGTAATAGAACAATTTTACATTCTCAAACATACATTGTGTTTCTTAGATGGCAGACTCAAATTTATTGCTACAGTTTTATGGATTATTGTGTGGCTTTCCTTGTAAGTCTCTCCCCCCCCCCCCCGATTTTAAGTTATATTTCAGGTGTGGGAAATCTTTGACCATGCAAATATTGCTGAACTTCAACTCCCAACATTCCTAGCCATTAGCTATGCTTGCTGGGACTATGGGAGTTGTAGTTGAGCAATATTGGCAGGACAGGTCAAGTCAGTTTATTGTGTTTTAGCAGACAGTCATTAAAAGGTAAAGGTAAAGGTACCCCTGCCCGTACGGGCCAGTCTTGTTCTTAGGAATCCCACTGCTTTTTCCATACCATCAGACTAAAAAGTTATGAAAGGGTTTTCTGCCTTTTGTAACACAAAACACACAACAAACTCAATACTGTTTTGTATTGGAATTTTCTCCGGTTACCTTATTTTGCTCTAGAACAACCAACTTGAGCATGCATAATTCTGCACAAGAATGGGCTGTTAGAATCTCTTTCTATTTGGGAAAGTTACTTTGATGATCAATGCTTTTTATGATGTGACTTTTTGAAGGGAACATGGGAATTATTTCCACTTTGACACTTTACCATTAGAAAACCTTTGAAATAATTATTCTTTATTTGTTGCCCTTCACCGTAAGGTCCCAGGGCAAGCCAAGGTAACTTAAAAAGTAACTTACCAATAATAATAATAATTGACCCTCACATTCTAACTGCCAAAACTGAGTTTCACCACAAAATTAATGTAAAATGAAATTTTACAGGGCGCATATCAGAGGCAATGCGTCTCTGAATGCCAGTCATTGAAATGAGTACAGCTGGGCCCTGCTTTTAAGCTTCTTATAGGCTTTTGGTTGGCCGCTGTAACAGAGTGTTGGATTAGAAGGATCATGGCATGATCCAGCAAGCTCTTCCTACATTCTTAAGTTGTTGTTTTTTTACATGCTAGTTTTCCAAACTGTTTCCATTGTCCCTTAAATAATAAAAAGTCCAGAAACATGATTAAAATGGAAATAAAGTTATCATGTTCAAAGTTTTAATTGTTACTTTAAAACATTTGCATTTTGCCTTGCCACAAATGGTACCCAAGACAGCAACAGAAACCTCCCCCCCATATTTTAGCAGTATCAAAAAAACAAAAACAAAAACAAAACTTAAACCAATCCCTCAAAGCCCCATTAGTTAACAATTAGCCAAATTTGGCCTGAAAATGCAGCAGGTTCAGTGGCGTATCGTGGGGGGTGCAGGGGGGCCCGGCCGCACCGGGCGCAACATCTGGGGTTAGGGCAAATCCACAGGTTAGGGGGCGCAAATCCACGGGTTAGGGGGCGCAAATTACTTGCCTTGCCCCGGGTGCTGACAACCCACGCTACGCCACTGAGCAGGTTGTAGCTTATTGACAGTTATCTCTTCACCACCCTCTTCTAAAGGCCTGATAAAATTTTATAGGACCATTCACCTTTCATGCTAGGCAGCATCGAGGCTGGGCATCCAGGCCCTTGCGGTGATCCGGCTCAGGGGTGGGGGATTGATGCCCCCCTTGCGCCAACTCCCAGCCGTGTCATGCCCACCCGGCCAATCTATGCTGGCATGGGGCATAGCCAGGAGGGCTTCCCTCTCTTGCCTCCTCACCAAATCTCCCTCTTTTTAAGCTTTGGTATGACACAACCTTGCTATGGAAAAATGTCAGCTACCTTATTGGTGGGACTGGGTAGGAGTTTTTCGCCTACCTAGCAATCGTCACAACTTTGTAAGGTTAGGCATTGGGTAAGCCTTTGTTTAAGGGAGGGGAGGTTGTAGCCTCTGCCTGCACCTCCTCGATAAGGGTATCCTATTATCGAGGATCTGGGTGTGTGGATCCTGTCCAAAGACCGGACATGGGCTGGGGCCATGCCACGACCCCAACGGGAACCCCTCGGGGTGCCCCTTTGATGTAAGTCTTAGGGCTCACCCTTCTGGATGTTTACCCTTAGTTCAATTCCCTGCAGATGGGCAGGAGTCAAGATATACCCTGGCTTCACCCAATGCCTAAGCCACACCACTCACATCTGTAACCAATAAAGTTGTGGCCTGTGTTATTAATCAATAGTGCTTGTCACAGGACCTTGGCACGCAATCTTATCGTATTGTTGGATGGAGAGAAAGGAGGTGCCTTTGGTACATCTCTAGGAAGTAACTTCTATCCAGACACTGAGAAGGCTGTATCACTATCCCCCTCACTTTTGATGTCAGGTGAATATTTTTTAAAGGCCTCCAGTGACAACTTTAACACACCAGTAGATTTATATGGTGATTCTTCAAGCACCTGGGCCCACTCCGCGTAGGGTAGGCATCAATTGAAATGTGCCTGGAAACAAATTCAGATCTTTGAGCACTATTGCAATATGTTCAAAGCAACGATTCCTCTCTGTTCTACCCTGGCTGCCACATTCTGGACCAGGTGTGTAGAAGCTTTGAAGGCAGACTCACAGAAAGCATGTTGTTGTATTCTAACCTAGAGTTACTAAGGCATTGATGACTATTTTCTTTTCCCAGAAGAGGACACAGCTGGTGAATCAACAAAAGCTGATTAAAATCACACCTGGTCACGGATGCCACCTGAACAACATGGAGCAGGGTCCAGAAGCACTCACAAACTACAAAACCCAATCCTTAAAGGGAAGAGCAAAACCCATCCAGAAGTGAAAACAAAAATCCAGAACTGTTGAACTACTTACCAACGCCTCTGTCTTGTTTGGGTTATGCTTCAGTTTATTTTCTCACCCAGTTCATTACTGACTCCAAATACCTGCTCAGAATGTCAGCTGCTATGCCTGGATTAGATGAAAAATATTAACAGAGCATGGTGTTATTAGCATACTGATGACACTTCAGAATGCCACACATTTCCCCAAGCAGTTTCATATACAGTGGTACCTCGCAAGACGAAAATAATCCATTCCGCGAGTCTCTTCATCTAGCGGTTTTTTCGTCTTGCGAAGCAACCCTATTAGCGGCTTAGCGGATTAGCGCTATTAGCGGTTTAGCGGCTTAGCAGCTATTAAAGTCTTAGCGGCTTAGCGGCTAAAAGGCTATTAGCGGCTTAGCGGCTTAGAAAAAGGGGGGGGAAGCGGAAAAAAATTGCAAGACTTGCAAGACGTTTTCGTCTTGCGAAGCAAGCCCATAGGGAAAATCGTCTTGCGAAGCAACTCAAAAACGGAAAACCCTTTCGTCTAGCGGGTTTTTCGTCTTGCGAGGCATTCGTCTTGCGGGGCACCACTGTAGATGCTAAATAGCTTTGGAGACAAGATGGGAAATTGTGGCATTCCATATACCAATATACCATATACCAATTGCCATGGGGTATAGGAGAAGTTTCTGAGATGATAATTTGAAAACTTCCCAACAGATGGAACTACTGGAATGTACTCAGTGCTTTTCTTCTAGACATTTTTCTATGGGTTTTTATTATTATTAATGTACAATTTAAAATAATAAACAAAACAAAAATCTAGAGATACTATTTATTATCCCAAACCTGATTTTTCACAAGCTGAAGTCTTTTACTATAATTACTCTTATTTAATTTTAGATAACTGTCCACAAATACAATTATCTAGGTGGCCTACAAAAGGATGAATCGATGATCTTTCATGGAACCTGTTCCCAAACTGTATCTGATCTGATCTGATCTAGGATTTGCAAGTTACCTGTAGGATTAGAACTAAGTGAAAGCAGGAAAAAAATAGTTTGTAAACATAAAAGCAGTGATGAATTGTATCATACATTTTTGCTTTGTAGACATTTTATGCTTGTCTATTCAAAGGTGAGTACAACAGAGTTCCATAGGACTTATTCTTAGACAATTAAGTATAAGAATAAAGCTGTAATCAGTAACAAAATGCAATGTTTGCACAAATTCTATAAGCCATATTTTTTATACCAGTAGCTTTGGTTAGGAATGATAGTGAAGGCTGGTGCTTCTAGAGACTGAGAGAAGTGCCCCCCCCCCTTGCTAAGCATTAGGACCACTAGTCCAAAAAGGAAGCTTACTCTCAGTGGCCTATACTTGCCTCAGTTTAGTTGAGCCCTCTCTTTGAATTCTCACAATACTCATTGTTGCCTTGTCTGCTTAATTTTTTTCTCAGACTTTGATTCTAAGGTTCTGAACAGGTTCTGACACACATGGCTTTTTCACTCATGGAACTAGTGTTATGGAATGTGTTCCCAGCTGAAATATGGGGGATCCCATTTGTAGTTGTACTCTAACAGCTTTTGAAGGTGTATCTGTTTACACATGCATTTCGTGATCTCACAACCCAGGTCTCCTGTTTTAATTACAGTGTTGTTTTAATGAGTCTACATTACACAGGACTTAGGATGGCCCCGAGGAAATGAAAGACAGGTTGTGCTACATCTGCGCCCCTCCCTTTGTCCCGAGCGCCAACAGATTTGGAAATCTTACATAAGACTCCAGTACAGAAAGCTGAAAATTCTCCCAGTTTATTCAGAAGCTGAGATGCGCTACAACTCCCATTGAGCCACCTGTGTCCACCTAGGAGTAAATATGGCAAAAGCTTAGATTCCACCGTAATCTCCAGACTTCTTGTCTTTTTCTGTGGAGAGACATCACCTGCACCTACAGGATAGTCATATAAATTTGCTTTTGAGCATGAAGCTAAGAACTTTCATGGAAATTTCAGGTATGGGAAAATACTGTCAGCTGGACGCTGAGGGGTATGGATAAAGGGAATAATGCTTTATCTTGAAAGTTCCTGTGTTCACCTTGACAGCTGTATCCTACTTTTGCTTATGTGCTCGAGTACTTATGGTGACTTTATTCAGAGCCTTAAGATAGGATTGTCAAGCTTTTCTTCTTTTACAGAGACTTCGTGAATTTAAGAAGAGCATGTTGGGCAAAAATTCAGCTAGTGTAAGATTTGTTGCTCCTACAAGTTGCACCTGTTGAATTTGTGTCATGCAGCAATTAACCTTGGCCAGAAAGGCATTTGAAATAATCCAAACAGGGGGCATTTCTCCAATGATTTTAACCTCATAAATTGTACCAGATTACATGTGTTTTCCCCTCAGGTTAGTGAGTGACAAGAGAAGTCACACATTGAAATTTTACCTTCTGTTCAATTCTTCTTTGGGAAAATTTCCAATAAGTACATTTTAAAGCAAAATATTGTTTTTATTTTATAAAAGCCCTTTATAATGCAGGCTAAAAAGCCATTCAAAAAAGCACATACTTTCTGCATGTATGGGCAAGAATTCCACCACTGCAGGCTGAATGATCTCTTGCTTTTCTCTCCCTGTACACTTTTCTGGGAGTTCTCCCACCCACCCAGACCCCAGCCAATTGGGGGGGGTGCATGCAGGGGGAGCCCCACTGCAAAAGTGGAATCTTTGAGCAGGGCTTCTATGGGTGGGAATTATTTTGTGAATCCTGCCCATAGAAATTCACATTGTGGAATGTACAGTTAATTGTGTATACTGTCTTGACCTGCTAGGAACTGCAAGGTTGATTGACTATTTACAGTAACTTCTATACCACCTAATAAATTAAAATACAGTGGTGCCCCGCAAGACGAATGCCTCGCAAGACGGAAAACCCACTAGACGAAAGGGTTTTCCGTTTTTGAGTTGCTCCGCAAGACGAATTTCCCTATGGGCTTGCTTCGCAAGACGAAAATGTCTTGCGAGTCTCGCCATTTCCCCCCCGCTTCCCCCCCTTTTTTCTAAGCCGCTAATAGCCTTTTAGCAGCTCAGCCACTAAGCCTTTAATAGCCGCTAATAGCGCTAATCCGCTAATAGGGTTGCTTCGCAAGACGAAAAAACCGCTAGACGAAGAGAATCGCGGAACGGATTATTTTCGTCTTGCGAGGCAACACTGTAGCTCTAAGCAGTGTATAGAAAATTGAAGGGACAACAGAGAACTGAAACAAAATATTACAAAAATATGTGGTTACATATAAAATGGTTACATTAATACAGTAGTACCTTGGATCCTGAACGCTCTGGAACTCGGACGTTTTGGCTCCCGAACACCGCAAACCCTGAAGTTATTGTTCCGGTTTGCAAATGTTCTTTTGTAACCCAAATGTCTGATGAGGCTTCCACAGCTTCTGGTTGGCTGCAGGAGCTTCCTGCAGCCAATCAGAAGCCACAATTTGGTTTTGGAAGTTGAACAGACTTCCGGAACGGATTCCGTTCGACTTCCAAGGTATGACTGTACAAAGTTACTAAATGTCTATAAATATCAATTCATTATCTTCTGATGCACCCTCCCTCTCAGCCTGCAGGTTGTCACCCGGGGTCCAACATATCCTTGGGTCACTCACAAAAGTCTCACAAGAAGAATAGTTCATGAGAACAGTGGCTATCACCTTAGGCTCTCACTCTAGACTTGCTTTTTATGGGCAGGCCCAAGGTGGATGGTACTTCCTTAGGTTGTCCAATTCAGCTGCACACTCCACACCCAGTTCCAGGTACAACAGGCTTGTTGAATTTCCCAGGGGATCCAAAGGATGGGAAGAGGGTCCCCTTCCACTCACAGTGAAGGAGTTTAAGGGAGGTCCAGAGTACTGTCTCACAGTGTATAGGACCAAGAGGCATGGAGGGTGAGGGAGCTGCTCCAGTGACCTGCAACACCTATGCTATGTTTGTCTTTCTGCTGGAGAACATGCAACAGCACACTTGCAGCAAGTGCAAGCTAGTTGTCTTGCTGGAAGAGAAGGTACAGCAACTTGAGGCCTGCCTAGTCACACTTGGAGCTGCAGGACAACATGCAGCGTTTCTCAAGAGCTGAGCTGACTGTGATGGAACAACACCACAGATGGGGTGCCCCCTAGGGAGGAGGAAGATTGCCCATTGCAAGAGACTAACCTCCCTGGAGGAATGTGATGCACAGAAGGACAGTCATGAGCCACACTTTATCTTTGGAGCTGCAAAATCACTTCCATATCCTAGCTCCTCTGGTCCAAAATCAGTGTCCAAGATGAGAGCATGGAAGATGAAACTGTCCAGCTCCTTTGTTATTTTTGCTACTGCTTGGAGGTCTAATGTTACCTTTATATTACTGAAATATCTCTGTATGTTGTTATGTGTGCGGCTATTATGTTCTAGTCTTACTATTGCTCTTTTGTAAGCCATTTTGAGCACCGTTCTTTGGTGGAAATTTTGGCATACAGATAAAACAATTAGTAACCTTCCTAGCTAAACATAACCATCTGCTTATATTCTCAGTTAATCAATAATAACATACAACTTACATTTTTGTTGTGCTTTAAGCTGGGTCTGCCTGTAGTGTTTTGTACCACAGTTAATCATAGCCCACGGTGAGTGAACTACGGTTTATTATTGGATGGTATTTTAAATATATGGTGGCAGTGGAGAAACAGTATCGAACATAATAAGCAATACATAGCGGTAGCTGTAATAATCTTCCACATTTGGTGGCAGCGTTAGTGGGATAATAAAGGGGATTGTTTACATTACATAACATTACTAGTTGAAAGAAATAAAGGAGGCAAAGAAATGGGTTTCTCACTCCCTCCACCCCAAGCTACCTATCTGACACAGAACTGTAGAGTTGGAAGCGATGCCAAGAGTCATCTATTCCAACCCTCTGCAGTGCAGGAAACTCATCTACTCAAGGCTGATCAGGATTCCTGATATTAGTCCTTATGGATACCAGATATAAAAACAAAGCAAAGAAACACAGAGTCACATAAAACCTCCCCACAGCTTCATTTATGACTGATTCACAGAAATAATGACCCCATTCGGGATCATATAGAATCACAGCAAGACACATAGAATCATAGCAAGG